CTTTCACAGTTCCCAGTCAATTTGGATGATAACACGAAATGAGCAGTGGTATCTGGTTACAACTAAAAACAGAAATGGGCTTGCTCTGGCCATGGATACTGGAGAATGAGCAGAAATTTGGGACACGAACTACTACATGTAATGATCATAGGTGATAGTTAATCATTAACTACTTAGAGTTGCAGATACGTCTATATATTTGAAGGAAGTAATTTGGAGAATAGCTCAAATTCTAAGTAAAGAACTTTGTTATAACTAAACATCACTATCCTTAACTTCGACTGAGCTTCACTATCATTATGGCTAAATTTTATAAGTCTATCTATCAAGGTTAAATCAAAGAAACAGAACCACAGGGACATATATATGCTACTACATATATAGATACACACACATGTATATATTTGTGTGTATACCTATATATTATACAATCAATTCTCATTATTTATGGTAGTTATATTCTGAGAAGTTGCTGAGAGCACTGAATTAGCAAATACTGAATCATTACTTCTAGGGGAAATACAGGGTGAGGTTCCTGCAAGCCTCTGGTCATATTTTCATCAACCAATTAATATATAACCTTGTTTTATGTGTGTTTCTGTTTAAAGACACCTTATTTAATATACATTGTTGATTCATTAACATTGAACTTGCGGCCAACAGCACTGTAGCTCATGTTTGAATGAAGCTTATCTAGCACATATTTTCTCCATAAGGTATATCACAGCCTTCTGTGGTTAGGAACCCTAGACATCACTTCAGCATTACATTTGGGGGTCATTTTGAGCAGTGAAATCACCAATAAAAGCACAAAAGAATGAAAATCATGGCAGTAAGTCTATGAAAAGGACACTTGTTTACAATGTGAGAACTGAAACAAGAAGGCAGAGCATGGTCTTGTTCAACCTTAGCTAGGAATGAATGACTCAAGTTTTTTGCAATTCTGTGCATGTGCATGTCTGCAAATGACTATAAAAGTGCCATGAGTATTGATTTTGGTGTTACAAATAAATTTTAGTGAGTAGGTGAGTTCACAAATACGGAATCCTGGTTAGAGAATGGTGTT